GACGGACGTGCCCGCGCACCGGGGCGATCTGGCCCTGAGGGTTTCCCTGCAGGTGGCCAGAGGAGCAGGCTGCGCGACCCGGCCGTGGGTCCCGACCCGGTCCCTCGCGCTGCCCCCGGCCCCGGCTCAACTCTTTCCTTTTTTAGTGAATTCTTTTGCTCTCGCTCATCCCTGGCAGCCGCTGCCAGGTCCCGGCTCCGTGCAGCCCGGACTCCCCGGGCGGCGCCAAACAAACTTGAGATGGGCCACCCTCCCCGCGGCCCCCTGGAGCCTGCCACCCACGTGCACCAGTCATTGCCATCCCGTGCCCAGATCCACGGGCCACAGCTCATGCAGGGCAACCCCCCCATCTCTGTGTGCCACCCCCTCCTCAGCATCCCCATGTCCCATCTGTGTGTGCCACCCCTTCCACAGCATCCCCATGTCCCACCTCTGTGTGCACTGCCCCTCCACAACATCCCCGTGTCCCACTTCTGCATGCATGGTGTCCTCCCCCTCCCCCAGGGTCCACCTCCACAAACATGACCCCACCCCCATCCCATCAACCCCCTCTCCCATCCCCTTTCCCAACCCACAGGGCCCTTCCACCAGCTCCTCTCCCTCCCCTCCCACATAGTACGCCTCTCCCTCACCCATCAACCAGCCGCTCCCATGCCCACACTCAGCTCTGTCGCCCCTATTTCCCTGCTCCTCATCTCCCCACGCACCAGCCTCCTTCTCCCACGCCTCACAGCAACTGACAGCACCATCCTCTTACAGCTTTGTCAGCAACAAGATCTTCACTAGTTTTTATATGCTGTGAATGGGGAGGTCCAAGCCTAAGCTTCTGCACATGGTAGCCTGAGGAGTCAGGAAGGAGGACTCTCCCTCCTTCCCTCCAGCTCTGAGCTCCTGGTCTGGGCACATTCTTTGTGGTTGTGGTGGGGAGGGATTACTTTCCTTTCAAGCATCAAGCACTGGGCCTGGCCAAGCACAGGGCCCAGGACTTGCTGGGCAGCTGGGCTCAGTCTGGAAAGGCAAAGTTCCTGCTTCGGTTTATGGGGGTAACGAGAGCGGCAGGAGCTGAGGCTATATTTGTTCTGAGAGGTGCTCCCTGGAGCCAGGACAGCACGGTCAGTGAAGGTCTCGGCAGGATCAGGATGAACCAGACAGGAACTGCAAGTTTGCAGGCCAGCTCCTTCAACCTGCCTCTCAGCTGGAGCTAGAGGGGCGAGGGGACTGGGCCCAGTGCTGGCTGCTACATCATGCTCTCCTGGTGCGTGAGGGGCCTCCCTACTACCTCTCGCCCTCTCTAATGCTTTCATGGCTTTAGCCCGCTCCCAGTTCTATATAAAGTGAATCAGGCCCTGTAAATAGCAGGGTCTTGTGACGCAGCCTCTGGGCTGTGGGGATATTTTTAGTGCTGAGACGCTGAGGATTTGGAGATTGGCTGGAATAATGTTTGCTCCGAATCGGTGTCACAGATGAGGGTCACAGGGTGCCACCTCCTCCCCCCGGCACAGTCCCGCTCTCCCCCTGCTTGTCTTCTCCCATTCCCTGTCTCTGCCAAAGCCACCAATTCCCTCCCTCCCTCCTCATGCACTTCCTCTCCCTGGGATTGGGTTTATTTTTTGCTTTTGCTGCAGTATAAGGCCAGAGCTGAAGCCCGAGAGGGAGAATTCATACAGAAGCATTAAGCAGCTTCCAGGTATCCGGTTTGTGGCCAGCTTAGTCCTGTGGGGTCATTCCCAGGGCTCTGTTGCTAGGAGGGACTGAGACTACAATAGTTGTGAGCTCTCCCACGGACAGTGCCCCAGTGCCCCTGGCCTCTTCCCCTCTGTAGGCTCAGCTTTACCCCAGAGCTTTGTGGTTTTCTCCAGCAACAGTGGAACTGAGGTCCGCGTGTCCCCCTGCAGTGGTGGGGGCCTTGGAGCAAAGCTGGGGACAAAGATCCAGCTACAGAGTGGACAGAGAAAGCTGGGTTCCTTGAAGTCATTCCATAGAAAAGCAGCCTGTACCCTGGCAAGCAGACTCTCCATCCCCTCCATGTAAGCTGTCAGCCTCTTCAGTGATCCCCTGTTGCAGTACCATTCTTCAAAGCCTTCTCTGTCTTTTTAATCTCTTGGGAAGTTTTCAAGAGATTTAAAGAGATATCAGCTGAAGAAATAATGCCCCCCCCCCCTTCTTGGCCCTGCGCCTCTTTTAAGCCCTCTTCTTCCCCTCTACACCCATTCATGCTGTCTGCTACACAGAGAGGGGGTTGTACTCAAACCAAGCAAGACAAGGAAAAACAACAAATGTGTCTCCTCCCAATGCAAGCACAGCCAGAAAATCCTCCATGGCTTAGCTCTCAGGTCAGGGTGCTGATTAGAAGATCTCACTGTTGTGAAGAACCCATTCAACCACCACACCCCTAGGGCTAATTTCATCCCTAGTCTCGGGGATTTGACCACAGTTAGTGCTCTTGTCGCATCCCCCCCTGGGAGTGGACATGAGTGGAATGGCTGTGAGCTCTATACAGCCAGCCCTCCTATAACTGTGTCTCCTGCAGGGAGGAGGTGGAAGCTCCTTTCACCCCTGAGCTTTCTGCTATTAGTCTCTGTAGTAGCTCCTACAGAAAGACCTGATGCTTCAGCCTGCTGGAAGGGGCCTGGGGCTTCCCTACAGCCAAATGCATCCCCTCCTGCTCCTCACATTGCCTCCTAGGACTGGCAGGGGCTGCCAGTGGGGAATTACAAGGAAATCCCCATTTGTTTCCTTCCCACGGGGCTGACAGGCCCCTTCCGGCCCCACAGAGACATTCAGGCCTAGTTCCTCTGTCAGCTTTGGTGCCTGAGAAGCAGCAAGAGCCGGAAGGATTTGAAGCCAGCAGGGAGCCTGGTGTTATTTCATGCTCTTGCAAGCCTGCCAGGGAAGCGTGTTGGGGGGTCAGCGATCTGGGAATGGCAGCGTGAATGTGCATGAGCCTCTTAAGTGGCTGCTGAAAGAGACCACCAGCAGGTATTGAAGAACACGACTGAATTCCCTGCAGTGCACAGGGGCTGCATTGTGCACAAATGTGTCACTCGGTGGGAACATGCCATCCCAATGAGGCAATCCCCGCGATTGATGGGGAAAAAGAATGTGACCAGTCACATAGAGTAAGGCAGAGAGGGAGCGTTTCTCTCTTTTATTTCCTCAATGGCACTTGTTCAGTGGTGGGGACATGAGTTGAGATGTTTGCCTGCTACAATGCCTGAGATGCAGGACGGAGCCCCAGGGAACGGGAAGGAGGGAGGGAGGGGAGACAGGGAGTGGGAAGGAGGCTCCATCTCTGGGTCTCACAGCGGTCACGGGTCCATCAGGCCCAGTCACCCAGCTGCATATGTTGCTTAAGGCCTGCAGTGGTTACATAATGGAATGTCAGTGCTCATGGCCAGCTGCCCAGCTGGCTAACGAAAGGCATTTGTAAATGGGTTTGCTAATGGATCTGGGATGTACATCCCAGTGCATCTCCCTCATTCAGGCTCTAGTACAGTGCATGAGTGAAAGCAGCATGTCAGTACCAGTGGCCTATCAGCTCCCTTGAATGTTCCTATGGTCATAACTATCATGGGATGGGGGAAGAGATGAGCAAAAAAAATGAGTGCAGAATACCCCAAAAGTAGAATCTGTGTTATCTGCCTTTTGTAGACCACTGGTTCAGGTGACATGGCATTCGCTGCTCCATTAGAAAGGAAAGTTGCAACATGTCAGCTTCTGGACCTCAAGGCTGCCATGTTCGTGCTGTTGTGTTTCAGTCATACCACTGTCTAGATCCCCCTGCTGTGCTAGGTCCTGTACAAACACAGGATAAGAACATATCCTATTGTGTTCACTGTCTAATTAGTCAAGGCAAGCTGTGGAAGGAGAAACAAAACTGAAGTGGCCCAAGGCCACAGAATGGGTTACTGCCAAAGCCAGGGCTAGAACACTGGTTTCCTGACTCCAGTGCCATAGCCAAGCCACACTCCCTGCCACACGAATCACGGAACTGGGGATTATTTACCGTCAAGGACATTCTCCAGATCCAAGATCTTATGGCAGAAGGAGGGTAAGCTTGAAGGGGGTCTCTGTTCTTTACTGCACTGTGGTTTTGGAACTCACCTCCCTCAGCAATGGGAGAGGATGTCATGTGAGAGGAGATTCCTTTCCCATTGCCATCGGCTGGAAAGCACTGAGAGAGAAAACAGGAAGAATTAGTGCAGGCACTCCAGGATCACGTTCTCTGAATTGTCATCTGGCTGTCAGGCATTTCACTAGAGTTATCTAAAGCTCCAAGACCTAAGCCCTGGCCTTTTTGCACTAGCTGATGCTTGAATTGCTGGCCACATTTCCTGGGAAAGCTGTGATAAGCCATAGGCCAACACAGCCAGTTAGCCACAGATTCCAATACCATAACAGTTGCAGGCTCACTGGAAGAGTGGGAAGCTGGTGATTCTGCCCTGATGAGAGCAAATAGTAGAGCAGGTGCAAAGCAGCTGAGTTCTGTCATTAGCTATCAGCAGGGCTGGCTAAAGGGGCCCAAAATTACCTGAGCCACAATCCTCCAGGGTTAACCTGTTGTCTGTGCAGCCTGCAACCCTATAATTACACTGCCCCAGTCTCCTCCTCCCTGCCTGTGCATTAGCTGTGCCCCCATCCCCATCCTCTGGCTCCCAGACCATCTCACACACTGTCTTGGGGTTGTGGACTGATGGTGGAGGAGTCGGGGTTCTGGAACCCTATAATTAACCCTGTGCCAAGGGCTCCTGGTACATGAGGCTTGGGCTGCAGCAGCTGGAAGCCAACAAAGGAAGCACGGTGGGCTGAATCTTGATCTATTATTAAGGTGCTGTCTGCACACCAGGCTCAAGAGTCTTTGCAGAGTATGAGAGCTGGGCTATGTGGGCATTTGCCCAAACCAGCAGTCCCATCCCTTGGAAATGGGCACAGGGACAGGCAGCCGCAGGAGCAGAGCTGAGCACTCAGACTGCAGTAAGTGGGGAAGCCAGAACCGCTCCCAGGCTGGCTAGCTCATGGCACTGGACCCAGCTGTAATGGGACAGGCAGAAGCAGAAATGAACACAGGCTGGGCAGATTTGACAACCAGGTCTTGCTTGGCATATTGCAGAGGAGAGGGTGAGGGAGGGAAGTTCAGCCCAGACAGGTATTTGAAGTGGGGGAGAGGTGAGATCTGAGAGGCTCCTATGCGTGGGGGTCTTTGTGGGGGAGGTAAGTCCTGAGGCATTTCCTCAGGACTGTCTAAGATATTTTTCCTCTGTGATCATGTCTCATCATCACATTGTTCCTGATACAGGCACAGCCCCTGCCTCCCTGCCAGACAGGGTGGGGCTCTTGGGCAGTTGTTTGCTGCAACAACAACCCCCCCCCCCCCCCCCCAACGGCGGGGGCCCGCCCCCCCCCAACCCCCCCCCCCCCCTCCTAATGCGCGGGGCGCGCACACCCTCTAGCACAGCAGTAGGGCTTGGTCAGTGCTAGGACAGGGACAGTCAGGGATGTTTGTTTAATTTCCATGGTTACTGTACAGTCCGATTCAATCATCACATTTTTTGTGTGTTGGCCTGACTGAGAGCAGCAGGGAGGACGTCTGGACTGGTGGAGGTGAGACTCCAGCCAGGCAGCATCCAGGCAGCTGCTGGAATAAGTTGGATGGGCTGCAAGGTCTTTGCTGTCTGGGGGTTTTGGTCTTTGGTTTGCTGCTCTGGGGGAGGGATCTTGAGTCAGGCCCCTGCCATGCACAGGAAGAATTGGCCCTCAGCCTTCTGGTTCTCAGCAGAGCTCTGGCCTCTGCCCACGAGGGCTCCCTGTCACTGTTGGGGGAAGAGCTGAGCCATGAGAAGAATTAAATTAATGCAAATGTTTGTACTGGCAGCATCTAGACTGTCTGCATGGGAATGAAGGAGGTCCTCCATGAGGACAGGGCTGTGCTCATGAACCGGGGTAGGGAGGGTATCTGTTGGCAGGCAAGGCTGGCAGCAGTTAATGCCATGTTATTCCTGTCACATTTCTCAGTTCAGTAAGACTTGAATGTCAGTTCCCCTTCCTGCATGGTAATGCACAGGGACAACTTGCTCAGTAACTCTGCCCTGGTTAACAAAGTGGGAAAGTCCAGAGCTGTGTCTGCTGTGTCACACACCCCAGAGACTCCCTGCAGCATGGGGCAGGGCGCTGAATGTCACCTTTCTCTACTACTACTGGCTAGAAGAGACTTGCATGTTACAAGACCACAGTTCTTTCCTGACAGTCTAATCTTAGGCAAGGTACTTTCATGTTGCCTGTCTCAGTTCCCCTCTCTGGAAAATGGGTCTAACAATACTAACCTTCTCCCACAGGGAAGAGAAGAGTTATTTGCAGGTTGTAGAGTGCCTGGAGATTAGGAGGAGGAAGGGGATACATATATCCAAATTAGCAGGCTTTTGCTGCAGTTGTTGACTCCAGACTGGAGTCAGAGTCAGTGACTCCTGGTCTGCACAGCCCCACAGTTAGCAAATCAGCACGCACTCCCCACGGGTAAAATGGAGCAGACCACTGACAGTGCAGGAAGGAGGCAGCTTCCCGTCAGCTGTGAAAGGTACCTTGTGCCCCATCTTACCGCTGGCTTGGGCCTGATCTCCCGTCTCATTCTTCTCCAGCCAACATGGAGCACGGGCAGCGGGGACTGGACTCGGACCAGGTACAGCAGCAGCAGCTCAAACTGCGTGACAGGCAGAAGTTCTTTGAGGAGGTTTTCCAGCATGAGGTGGATTTCTTCTTCCCCATGTCCCACCTGCAAATAGAGCACAGGAGACGTAAGTGCTGGCCAGTGCTGGGGAGGAAGTTGTCTGTGCTGGGCAGTGATGGCGGGGAGGGGTGCGCATGAAAGGACATTACAAAAATTCCTGTTCAGAGCTATGCATGCTAGTTCATATATTGATGCCTCATACTCAGTGCTGCATGGAAAGAACAGTGGTTCTTGCACTGAGGAGCTCCCAGTCCCAACAACCTGAAGGGACAGGAAGCTAGGCAGCATATGTCACACACAGAGAGGGATCAGATACCAGCATGCCATGCGCAGGGTTGGCAGCTTACATATCTTGTGGACAGCGCAGTCAGATGCCTGGGTACCTCAGAAACAGAAGCAGAATTCCTCCCCATGCCTCTTACCAGTGAAATAGAGCTAAGTTTTCAACACCGACAGCTTGTCACCCTCAGGGCTCTTTCCCCGCTCCCTCGACCAGCCAACCATGCCCCAGAACTGTCCTGTTTCTAGCAGGCATGAAACCAAAGCATACCACAGTGTTTTCTCTGGCACTGTCTTCTCATGTTGCTGGCACGAGGCTGGCCTGAGACTGTTTGCCTGGTGTTAGGAATGACCCCCCACCCTGTATTCCCCTGGCTTTCTGGTCTGTCTCTGCAGCTCCCCTAGGCAGCATTTCTTCCATGGAAGTGAACGTGGACATGCTGGAGCAGGTGGACTTGACAGATCTTTCTGACCAAGACACTGTGGATGTATTTCTCAGCTGTGGAGCAGAGGACAACAACATTGCCAGTCCCCTGCCAGGTATGTACAGTCTGAGGATATATGCTCCCTTACCTGCTAGCTGTCTTTTGACTGCAACAGCTCAGCTTTCCAGATCTATTCAATCTCTCCTGTGATTTTCCAGTTCCAAAGGGAAATAGCAAAAAAACTGCCTGCAGCTTTGGCCTGTAGGATCAGAAAGTTCCCTCTTGGCACTGCTCCCTACCAGCACTGCTCCCTACCAAAGCCAGCACCATTGTGGCCTCCAGCAATAGAGGCTGCAGTACAGAAGGGCAAAGTTTTATTTACCTCAAATTTTGTACCATGGATCATAGGGAACAATGCTGTTGTATAAATACCTGTATACACTACAGCCTCCACTGCTGGGAGTAGAGAATTACAGGGGAGTGTGGCAGGGCACTGTGTGTGCCTGCCACTTTAAGGGCCTGGAGCTGGCAGCCACCAGGTGCCTGATGAGGGCCGTGGCCCTTTTTGGAATCAAGGGCTGCCCATATAAACAGGGCAGTTCAGCTTCTGGAGGCCAGGCAACAACATTGCCTGGCTGGAGGGCTGCTGGTATCATCTGGAGGTAAGGGAGGAGCTGTAGGGGATGGATAGGAGGCTCCTGGGCCTGGGGCTGACCTAAAACTGCACCCTGCCAGGAGTGGGTGGCCTGGTGGGGCTCTCAGTGGTGCAGGAGCCCCCAGGAAACGCCAGGTCAGTTACGACCCTGGTGAAAGGCGGGTCGGGGCACCTTAACCCCCAGCCCCCACAACCAGGTGGGTTACCCCTTTGTTTGTAGGCCTCAGAGGGCAGACCCCTAGAGAGAGTGAGGGACTAGAGACTCCGACCTGATTGAGAGAGTACCCTCGACTGGCCCATGCTGGGGCCAGGACCAGGATGGTCAAAAGGGCCAGGGGCCCACTGCAAGGGATGCCCAAGAGCCAGGGGTCTGGGGTCCCGACTGGTCTGGAGGTGGGCCACGGCTGGTAGCCAAAAGTCCCGGGGAGCCCACACCCGAGAAGGGAAAATAGCTTCAGGGAGCTAGATAGCCAACTGAAGGTGGGGTAGGTTGCCTGAATGGAGGGATCTTGGAGGGGTCCTGATAGAAGGATTCTGGGGCCCAGTGTGGAGCCGGTGATGATAAGAACACCTAGATGCCATCTGCGAGGCTTGGGCTGCAGTGTAGGGGAGGAATGGCCCCGCAGATAGCGCCCCCTGGCATCAGGGCAGTAAATGGACAGCCTCCTGCTTAATTGACATCTGTTAATTAACACCAGGCGTGGCGGACGAGAATGCAGGCAGGTGGACCAGGAACAGGTGGGTGGGCCACGGTTAGATGGGCCCCAAGCAGGCCCCCTGTTACAGGGAGATAGAATCATAGAAAGTTAGGGTTGGAAGGGACCTCAGGAGGTCATCTAGTCCAAGCCCCTGCTCAAAGCAGGACCGTCCCCAACTAGATCATCCCAGCCAAAGCTTTATTTAGCCGGGTTTTGAAAACCTCCAAGCAGAGACAAGCCAAGCAGGGCACAGGGCAAATCGGCCTGTGTGGGGCCCTGCCCCCAGATACAAGAAAGCCGACGGGGGATTTGACAGCAGGGGGCGGGTGCCGAGCGCCCAGACGGGAAGCCAGCAGCAGTGCAGACTCGCCACGGCCGCTCCACCCAGATCCACGGGACCCACGGCAGTCGCCCCAATTCACCTCTCCCTAGGGATGGCCCTGCCTCTGAGGATGGAGCTTCCATCACCTCTCTGGGTAGCCTGTTCGAGTGTTTTACTACCCTCCTAGTGAGAAACTTCTTCCTAATATGTAACCTAAACTTCCCTTGCTGTAACTTGAGACCATTGCTCCTTATTCAGTCATCTGCCACCACTGAGAACAGTCCAGCTCTATCCTCTTTTGAACCCTCCTTCAGGTAGTTGAAGGCTGCTATTAAGTCCCCTCTCTGTCTCTTCTCCAAACTAAATAAGCCCAGTTCCTTCAGTCTTTCTTCAGAAGTCATGCACCGCAGCCCCCTCACCATTTTTGTCGCCGTCCATTGGACTCCCTCCAATTTGTCCGCATTCTTTCTGTAGTGGGGGGCCCAAAACTGAACACAATACTCCAGATGTGGCCTTACCAGTGTTGAATAGAGGGGAAGAATCACTTCCCTTCATGTACTGGCAACACTCCTGCCATTAGCCTTCTTGGTGACAATGGCACACTGCTGGCTCATGTTCAGCTTATTGTCCACTGTAACCCCCATGTCCTTTTCTGTGGAGCTGCTGCCCAACCAGTCAGCCCCCAGCCTGTCCTGGTGCATGGGATTGTTCTTGCACTTCTTAGGGACTGTTGCAGGACTTTGCACTTGTCTTTGTTGAACCTCATGAGATTCCTTTTGGATTGCAGTCCTCCAATTTGTCTAGGTCACTCTGAATCCTATAGAGAAATAAAGAAGCAAATCAGCTTTTCAAACCAGCAATCATCCCTACCCTCCAGCATATCAAGAACCCTACTCCCCCCAGCTTGGTGTCATCTGTAACCTTTCAGGATGCAGATGACCTCAGACACCCTTTGTTGAGTTCACTTTACAGTGGTGCTGGGTCACTGCACGAGGAGGGAGACCAGGACTCCTTTCCCCGCTTCCACGCTTGCTGCAATGATTCACACAGGGAATGAGTCAAGCCCTTTACCAATAGCTTCTGCCGAGCTCCAGTAAAAGACCTCACACACAACAGCTCCAGGCCAGCTTCCACCAACTAAATAAGGAAAGCTTCACTGCCAAAAAAGTTGGGGAAGGAATGTGAGGCCCATGCCCTGCAGCCAGGCTGGGATTTGGGAATGGGAGCTAGCTAGCTCCTGCTGAGGAGTGCAATGGGGTTCCGGGGTCACTAGCTGATGCTTGTCTGGAGGGAGCCGGCACCTCTCTGTCACAGAAAACCCAGTGATCTTCAGATTCCCCCTTACCCCTGCAAGGTTGTTCTCCCGGCAGGAAAAATTCTTGGCTGTTGCCTCATCTTCTTTCATGCCCAGACTCCTAGGAGCCTTGCACCCCATCCCTGAAATAGTGCAGTGCACAAACCCAGGGCCCTCCACTAACTGGGACTGGCAGGGCTGGGGGAGATGATGGGGCCAGGCAGAGAGCCCATCAGGGTCCAGACCTGCCAGTTGTATTTCCCTATTTTGATTCTCCCTGCTTGACAGATCCCAGCCAATGCCCAGACGAGATCACCCTGCAAGTGCCCGACACAACTGAGATCAAATCACGGATCTCATCCACATCCTCCGCCTCCACAGACCTGAACAGCCTGGACACCAGTGAGGAAGGGGCAGAAACTCCTGTGGTGCAGTCGGATGAGGAGGACCTGCAGGAGGACAACCCTAAACAGCAGGTGGTCAGAAGTTAGCATCAAGCTCCCTGCTCTCTCTTCACCCGGCCACTGCATGGACCTGCCAGCATGGAAGGAAGGCTGCTGGCTGTTTGACTCTCGTAAACCCCAAGCAGTGTCCCCATCCTAAGCCGCTGCCTTCAAGGAGTGGAGACGAGTTCCCCCTCCCCCTGCTGGTTCAGCCAAGGGGGCAAGAGTGGGGCCCAGAAGAAGAGGGATATCATAGGGTACAGAAATTAACTCTTCAGGCTTTGCTACTAACACTCCTGCTTCACCCACCTAAGCTGCTAAGCTCACCCTGGTTGCAGCTGCACCCAGTCCCTGCAAGGCCCCTCTGCTGGATCTCGGCTTCCCTTGGCCCCTCTAGACAAACATTTAACAGCAGCCTACAGAGAAATAACACTCCTGTCAAACAAGCAATCAGGGTGTGTGTGTTATTGGAAGAGAGTCATGGGTGCCCAGGAGATGGGGGATATGAGTTGTTTGGCCTTGGAAGGAGCTAGAGGAAGAGGCAAGTGTGGCAGGGGTGAAGTGCATTGAGTCAGACTACAAAGGCAAACCTCCCTAGGAGATGAGCTCACATTTCAGACCCTGAAGCAGAGGTCTTACCCAGTTCCCAGCCCAGAGTCCTGCCTGACAAGCAGCACAGTCCCTTTATCTGCCTACAACACGTGGATGGAGAAAATCAACAGCCCATTGAAACTATGCTGGTGGTAATACAGAGGGGGCTTTGTGGTGCTCTGCATTTCTGACCTGCTCCAATTGCAGGGGGAGATGCCATAGTCTCAGACTAATAACAGACCTGACCTAGCACTGAGTCCACAGGAACAGGTGAGCTGTAACATGACCCCAAATGTGTGCCAGTGCAGTTCCCCATGGATCAGCCTGCCCCTGATTCTGGCTCTCATTAACAAGTGCAGCAACAGCAGTCAAAACACCTGAGTGAGCAACGCAGCATATGCAGCATGCTTGGAGTAGCTCTGGCTGTGATTCCTGAGAGGAATCTTACACAGAGCGAAGAACATGCTGTCACTAACTTGGGCTTGGCCACTGCTCTTGTCTTCTTTATAACATAGCAAGTACAGCCAGAGGCAGATCAGGTTGGAGGAAAGCTGCTTCCACCAGGTGCTGCCAGACAGGTGTCCTGGCTTTAATCCAGCTATAAAAGGGGAACTTGTCATGCCCATAGCAAAACTAGGTCAGCCATAAGGAGAGGAGTCTGAGATAGAAATAACAGGCATAGTGTAGTATCCTAGATCCTGGCTTCTTCCTTGGAACACTCAGAGTTTAACAGAACCTGGACTAACTTGTCAGCAACCCTGGCTGGACCATGGCTGTAGCAGTTAGCATCTCATGTACCTTTAAGCTACAAGCCAGGTGCAGATGAGTCATGCCTCAGACACACAGTGCAGCTTGTAAAACACTTTATCTAGAGGGAGTAGAGAGAAAAGAAAGGGCTGAAAAAAAGGAAGTGACTCAGGGGCTGGCAACTCCAGAGAGGCGGGACAGCACAGAAATAGATAAGCCGAGACATCAAGGAAATGAGAGCAAAACCCATGGAAAAACAAGCAGCAAACTGTCCTCATTCAGCAAGGGCAGACCTCAACTGCAGAACTCATTTTCAGCAGTCAGTGGGAAGAGCCTTGCAGGGAGCAGCTCAAGCTGGAAGCCCTCTCTTAAGCCTACAAAGGTTCCAACCAGTGCCCCCACCCATCCTAGCCCACATCTAGATGCAACATAATGAGCTCTGAGTCTCCATTCTTGCACTCATTAGAGGCCTCTTCCATCACCTAAGGTAGAGTTGACAGTACAATCATTGCAAGGGTGCAGCACTGTGGATCTGCTCAAGTTCCTTGCAGGTAGCACTGGTGGCAGGTGGCCTCCAGTGGTAGGTGCTTTAGGGCCCCTCTAAATGTGCAAGTAAAGGTGCGATAGGATCAGATGTGCAATCCACACAATAATGCTTTCTACCATGCCACACGTGCATGGCAGGAAATCTGTTTGTGAAACTGCAAATTAGTTCTCATCACACATTGTTGACAGTGCAGGGGAGGGGAGTCCAGGATCACAATCCTGGGCTCCCTTTGCACTGGCGAGTAAAAACTCCTGTGGCTGGGAACCTCATCAACTGGCAGGGCTCCCAGCTGTGGGGGCATAGATCCCAAATTAAAGTTTAATTAGACATTCAAATGAAAAAGTTAGATGGAAACAGCTATAAAAAGTTATTGTATGTTTTGCAGCTCCAACTTCATAGCTGGATAGACATTTTTATGACTTGATAGTTACTTTGCACATAGCTGGTCTCAATAAATTGCACAGTTCACCTGGTAATTGTATAATACATGTAACATAGAGGGGGCTATTTGAATGCATTTTAATTACACATTCAAATTAAAACTGCATAGAAACCAGCACTAGAGTTGTGACCTGTTTTCAAGCCCTAACTTTAGAGCTGATTGCCTTTTTTTCTTTTCTTCTTTACAACTGGAGAGTCATTTTTAGCTTGTGATAATTACTTTGCATGTGCAGTTGGTCTACATTTATTGCCCACTTCACCAGTGCATTGCACGATAATTACTTGACACTTGTGGCCAGTTTAAAATTTACTGCACGTGTCGCCAGTGAATTGGGTGACAGCTCCTTCACAGGAGCGGCAGGGCTACATTTATGGCACGACCGATCTGCGATTTTTTTTCTTTTTTTAAAGGAAATTTTTTTGTGTTCCAAATCAGACAAATCAATCCCAAATCCGTGAGTCACTCAAGAGCCACACGTGGCCCTGCTACTGGCAAGCGGCCCCACCCCCGCCTGGGGCTTCAGGTGTTTCCAAATCCTTTGGCCGGCCTCCTACGCGCAGGCCCGAGCCCGGAGATGGGGCCCCGAGTCTCACTTGCCCTCAGCCGCAGGAGCGAGCTAGGGAGGCGTCTCCCGGTTCCATAAAGTGCGCGTGTAGCCGAGACCCAGCCCCCGCCCTACCGGAAGTGAATGCGGGAGGCCCCAGTCTGGGCACTGCACCAGCCAGCAACTAGGAACCCCGCCTTGGTGCTCGGTGCGCCCCCTGCCCGATCCGTCACAAACACAAGCAGCAACTGCCCCGGACACTGCGCGTGCCGTGCAGCCCGGGCCGCCCCGGAGACCGCGCCACGCACCGCCGTCCGGGCGCGGGCAAAACCGCCCCGCCCTGCCCTGCCCTCCCGGTGCCCAGACAGGCGCGTGTCTATGGTCGGAGCCGGAAGTACCTCGCTATTGGGCGAGCGAGACGGAAGCGGAAGGTGTGGGCGTGGTGCGCGAGCTGTTACTCAACCCGCTGCGTCCGGAGCTGCTGGGACGGGTCTGTGGTCCCATGTCTGAGCTCCGGGCCTGGTTCTAGGGCTTGTCGCCGGGGGAGTCCCGCGGTGCTGGGGCCCGTCCCCTGGGGAGGCCGCACGGGCGGACTCGGCTGGCGCGCGGGAGCCGCAGTTGCTCCTGGAAGTACAGACGAGCCGGGCGGGAACGGCGCTCAGGAGGTCTCGAGCCCAGGCCCGTCTAGACCATCCTGAACACGCGTTTGTCCAGCCTCTTACCCGCGTGAGGACCCGGCCTCCCGACCGGCTGCAGGCACAAGCGACCGAGCATCGGAACACGGACTCGGTCACGGTCCTGCCAGCGCAAGGAGAGGAGGGAGTTTGTTAAAATATGTTCGAGAGATCCAGGGAGATGGACCGTGCAGGCCTTGCCCCTGTTCGATAGCTGCCGCATTATGGTTCTAGTTACGATGCCCACATCATACCTCCCTCCTACGTATCTTTACTTCCTTTTCCTTGCAATGGCCAATTTCATTTTTCAAGCACCTGATGTAAGACTTAAATTATAGCAGACCCTTTACATCTGGGGACTGGGGCCAGTGGCATAATCTGTGGTTTTCTTGTTCAGTGTTAATAAGTCCTGGAAAGAGTTTAGCAATTTGCTCCCTGGGATATTCTGTGCCTCTGAACTTCATTGACTCCATCAACACCGTCACTCCAACAGCATCATTCAAATCCCTGAGCCTGACCAGTGGTGAAATAGTGTGGGGAGGGGGTGCTGGCTTTACCCTGTGTGGGCAGCTCCACTTGTTGCTCCTTTGCTTTGCTAGGGCTGGTATAGAGCAGGGTCCTGGGAGGAGCGATGATGCTGACGACCATCCAAAGCATTGTTCTGGCAAGTGAATTTGGAATGACTGAGATCTAGTAGACAAAAATGGACTAGAAACAGCAGGGGCAGTAGTGGTACTAGTTTTGCCTCACTAGTGTCTCAGTTCATCTCTGGAAAGAGAACTTCTAGGGGAAGGGTTAAACCCATTCATTCTTCTGCCTGTGCTGGGAACATGGTCTGTTAGTTCCAGTTGTGGCAGTGACAAGCTGTATGTAACAGGGCAGAGCAGAAGACCAGTCTGTCTTGTCTGGTGTGCCAGTCTGTAGGAGGTCAGAACAAAATCTTGCCTCCAGCAGTGCGCAGTCCCCAAGGGTTCATCAGAAACTAGAAGTTCTTTGTTGTTTGCTTGGACTGTGTTGACCACATCAGGATCTTATTGCTTGACCGCTGCGTTGGTCCATTTACATTCTGAACCATGACCTTTAATAATGCTTCTTAGATTGTAGTGCACTAGGACAAAAGATTGTCATTTCTTCAGTACCTCCATGCACGTGTAAGCCCAGGGACAGGACCAGAACATTTAAAAGCCTGTTTCATCAGACAGAATATTCATCCCAAGAGAAATCTCTTGAACCTCCCCCCCAATTTACACAGCCAGACAATCCACTTTACCTGAGACATCTTCCAAACTAATCAGATAACTAACAAGCCCAGGCACCAAAAAAAAGGAAACTCATCAGCCCACCCCAATACTATACTTCCTATAAAACAAAACAAACCCTGCTTACTCCAGTCCCCAAGGAAGTAGCACACTAGAGGTCCTCTGAAGTCATTTCAAATTGGAAGGCAGATGCCACCAATCCAGAAGTCTCTCACTACAACCATTTATGATCAAGAGCTCCCACCACAAGGGGGCCCCAAAACACTAGAATAGAACCTGTGAGGTCTGGACATCAAATCTAGGCCCTGATACACACTTTCATTTCTAGGGGTAGAACATCTTCACTCCAAAATGATTCTGGGAGTGAGGGGTGAGGCAAAGGGAAACAGGCAGGAGAATTCTCAGGAAAGCAGAAGAGCCTTTTCCCAGGCTCCAGTCCTGGTTCCCAGGAGGAGTTGAGCGGGGGAAGAGTGGAGGAGAAGTATATAGACTTTTGCTTCCTACCCAAACTCCTTTCAGGAGAGGAGCATCTTGTCTTTAATTTCCACAAGTCAGGGACAAGACTCCTTGTGACAAGAATTACTTTAAGAGAGTTACTATACTTTTTAATATGGAGAAAATAGCCTAACTATTTTAAACATTTCTTGCCTACCCTTGTTTCATACAACATTAAGGCTTACACACATCACATTTCTTAGTCATAGAATTACAGCACATTCACTCCCTGACTGTAGAACCTGAAGCCTTAGTGCATCTGCTTTTTTCCTCTTTCTGAGAAGGTACAATGTCCAACTGGAAACATCTC